GTTAAAATTTATATAGCGCTAATTATAATTAAAAATTTTCATCATGTTCAAAAAATAAAATAAAAGAACGTAATTTATAACAATAATTTAAACAAGTACCTATGTCTTTAGACGTCTTTTAAATTCCAGAAGCGTTATTCCGGATTGACGAAGTTCATCTGGCAGTCCATTCCAACCAGTCTATTCGATTGCCAGTTTTCAAATTGAAACTAGTCCTGTGTTTCTTTTCATGAAATCGGCATAATTTTTTAATTTGAGGACATTCATTGTCAAACCACTTTGCAGATGGGACTTGTCTCCATTCAGTTGGCTGAAGGGGAGCAACTATATCAGCTATTGCAGCAAGTTCTCTATTAAATAACATGAAATTTAGTTCCACATCATCATTTCCAATACATTTAGAGATAGGTTCCAACTACGAAGCCAAACCATTTCTGTCAAAACGACCCCAAGATCTAACAAATGGTCACTTAGTTTTTAACCGATTTTTCCTTAAAGTCCAACATTATTGGTGGAAGACTATCTTTGTTTTTACCAAAGGCCTCCTTGATTTCACTGTCCATGATCGTTGTCAAAATATTCATGATATTACTTTTATCATCTTTGCGTGTGACAACTGACTTGTTCATCCAGCTCTGCAAGTTTTTTTGCTATGACATTTATTTTTTCGTTAAGCAGGGTAAATTCTTTTTTAAAATTATTTTGTCCATCAGCTACAAAATTCTGCTTTTTTTTATTTCTTCTTGAGATTTTTGTAGCAGGACCAAAAAGATTCGGGTCAGCTTCCCCCACTGCTAGAATATTAGGTTCGACAGATAGACAAGCGAAGTGACACAAACCACTGCACATATCCCAGTTCATCACCTCCTTGTTTGATCCCCCCGTGTTTCTGCATTTTGAGCATTCATCGTTAACTTCTTGCGACATCGCGAATGTAATCCAATCAGCAGTTAGGAAACTAACGCATATGATAATTCAAACAGTAAATAACCGAATTGTCAACAGTATATGAATAAACTGTTGGAGTTGTTGCAGGCTTTACATTTATAGCCTTACGCAAAATTCAACTCACTACGATTAACTTTAATAAATAGCGAAAAAGCGAACTATTTAAAACCAGATAACTTTAAAATTAATCACTATAATTAATTCAACAGAAACGATTAGCTTTGATTAACAATGTATGTATGTATGTATGTGTGTGTGTATGTATGTATGTCTGTATGTATGCATATGTGTGTGTATATATGTATGTCTGTATGTATGTATGTATGTATTGTATTCACCTTTATAAAAATGTTAATAGTCTGAAGACGATGATGATAATAGTAATGACGATTGAAAGAATGCTGATAACGATTTTGTTGTTTCATAAAATGTGTAAAACAAAAAACCAATACAAAACGCTGAATAAAATCATTATGTTTTAGCATTTTAAAACTCAAATAATATCACTCACTCTCTCTCTCTCTCTCTTTCTCTTTCTCTCTCTCTTTATTTCTTTTTCTTTCTTCTTTTTTTTATCACTTTCTTTTCTGTCTCTCTCCTCTTCTAAACCTATATATATTTTCATTTTTCTCTTGTGTTTCTCCCAGTTTTTCTTTCTCTTGTTTGTTGGTTAGCTCTCTCTTGCTTTCTTTCTTTCTTTTTTCCCCTCCCTCTCTCGCTCTATTTCTATCTCTTGCTTTATTTTTTTTTTCTCTCTCTCTCTTTTCTTATCTCCCTTTCTCTATAGATGTATGTATACCAAAGAAAAGAATGGCCCCCACCACCACAGATACGTTTGGTCTCAAAGTTCAAGGTCATTATTGTCTTTTATTATTGTCATTGTTATTATTATTCTTATTATCATCTTATTGTTATTGTTGTTGTTCATATTCTAGCTATCGTGATATGGGTGCTGGTCAATGTAGTTTCCTCTGAAATAAATGAATGAATGAATGAATAAATAAATAAATGAATGAGCGAAAGAACGAACAAATAAATGAATAAATTAGGCCAGTAAATCCATATCAAACAGCTAAAATCGCATCCCTTGCTTCAAATTCGCGTATAACGAACAAATGAAGAAACTAATGTATAAATGGATGAATGAATTAATAAAAGAAAGAATAAACGAATGAATGAATGAAAGAACTAACGAATGAATAAATGAAAAATTGAGCAGACAAACAAATGAATGAATGAATTACTAACTTTGGCCAGTAGTTACATACTAAATAGTATAAATCATCTCTATCGTAATAAATCCTACCAGAGCTTGAATAAAATGGTTTGCAGTGTGAGAGGGCGCAACCTATTTTGGTGGTCTTCTTCCAAATCATCTGATTGGTCGGTCAATTGATTGTTCGGTCAGTTGATTGTTCGATCAGTTGATTGTTCGATCAGTTGATTGGTCGATCAGTTGATTGGTCGATCAGTTGATTGGATGATTAAACAAATAGGTGAGCGATTGATTAATATATGAGTGCGTATATAGATTAATGGAATGGTTGGTTTG